CTTACTTTCGCTGCTCGAAGTCGATGGAAAACGGCGAAACATAGACTATTCCTCTTTACTCTTTCTCGCCTTTTTTTTCTTCGTGCATCTTTCCACTCATGGCCAACTACATTCCTACGGGATCAAACTTGTAGCGCAGATTTCTAGATGCTTCTCTAATCTTGATTGAATATTTGTTAATCCTTATTGCTCGTTAAATGGAGATTCTGTATCGCATAGATATTTATACTCGCAAGTTTTTCTGGGTCCTTAGATTTTTACATTCTTGAACTTTAAAATATTATATTTCTATTAGACTTCCTAGCGAATCCACAAGAGAATGTTGTGGATTCTCTAGGAAATCCTTACAATTTTATCATTATGTATTGTAAAACAATATTTCGTGGAATTTTTTAATCTTTAAATTTACGCATGTGTTCTTTTTGAATTATTAATTTCTGCAGTAGCTTAGAACTGGAAGCTTTTAAATTCCATGAATTAATATTTTTTGCTGTTCTATGCAAGGTCATAATATTGTATATTATATATATCTATTGTACTTTCAATTTTTAAAAAAATTATAAATATATATATATATATATATATATATATATATATATATATATGTGTGTGTGTATATATATTAGAAATAGAAAAACAGTATATATTTCATAGATAAATATTAATTACAGATTTCTGTCGGTTATGTGAATTGAGTGACTCTCGTACAATTTATGAAATATACATTAGATTTTTATCTTTGAATTTTATATTTTAAGTGGGATTTTTTTAAATAGTTTAATTTTACTTAAACTTACTTTTATTTTACATAAATTTTGCATATCCGCTCTCTCTCAGATTGCAATGCATTTTACAAAGCGATCAAAGGCTAATGCGCTAATTGAGAAATGCTGACTTATAATCTTCCGTTATCTGATTGCATTTCGCTGATTTGGTAATTCTATTTTGTACACAATTAGCTTTAGACTTTTCAGTAAAATATGTTCTCATTTATTTATTTAATTTCCTTAACAATTTTATCATTATTTATTGTTTAATTCGTTTAAATATTCCAGTTTTATCAATATCTCTAGACACTTTATTGACAAATAGCTTAAAATTATTTTTTTTTATTTTTATATATTTTTTCTTTTTATTTCTAATATTTTATTTTCATGTAAAATTTGAACAAGATTTGCTAATTATTCAATCATATGTTTCCCATGTTTGTATTTGAAAATAATTATATTTTTAGTAGATTAATAAAATTTCTTTATTTTTACATATTATTTTATATATTTTTTTAATTTTCGTGTAAATTATAAGGAAGCAATTCTTGTATAAATGTTTTCCTTCTACGCGCAATTAAAGATTTTTTTTTAATTTATGAAAGATTAAGAAAAGAAATTAATATTTATTATTTTACTTTTTTTTATTAAAGCCAATTTTCCTTTCATTATTTCTTGTAAAGGAGAGACAATTTATATATAATCGCAATTTATACATAATTTATTTTTATTGCAACTATTTATATAACTGCAATTATATTATTTTCGATAAAAAATTGCAAATATTTGATTACAGAACCATAAGATATTTTTCTTTCTATTTAAAGAAGAAAAATGTGCTAAATTAAGTCACTAAATTACATTATAAATAAGTGGTATTGTTTTCGCTTATAAATACCGTTTGTATATCTCTAAACGTAGTCAATGGTCTCGCTGAAAAGCGAATCTACGATAGAGCGAAAATCGATTTCTCTCTTGCGCCCTGGCGACATTAGCATCAGTGTCGGCGTCGGGGTCAGCGTCAGAGTCGGCGTCGGCGTCGGCGTCGGCGTCGGCGTCAGCCGTGATGGTTACGTCGTTGCTCGCTGACTTTCGCACGCAGAGTGCATGCGCATTGCAACTAGAGCACAATCGCCTTCGCTTTGCTAGCAGCTCCGACGCTTTACGTAGACACGTATACATGTGTGCAGATTTTTTCCTGTCAGATTCACTCGGTTTTCTTTCTGCGTTATTTTACTTGGACATAAAATTTGCAGGCAAGATCCTCGCGTTAGCAGATTGTTGGTTTTCTTGGGTCGTCCATAAAAATCATAGAATCCCTTCATAGTAAAAATTTTCCTGGCGATAATAATATATGCATACGTTCGTAAAGATGAAGCACAAATTTTACATTCAGGTCAATTAGACACAACACACATACATTATGAACTATGATACCACGTTGCTGCGTCGTCGAGCGTTCTAATTTTCAAAAGCATAACACAATGTGTATTTCCATTAAAATATATGTATATTTGCATTAAAAGTTATAAATAGAAGTCGAGCATTTTTATATAATCATGTATAAAATATATTTACGAAGAAAATGATAATTTCAGGCAATATCTGAAAGAGAAAGAGAGGGAATAAATTCTTCAAATGCCGCAAACGTTTGATAGACTTCTTTTTTTAGAAGTCCTTGAAGTGGCCGTTAAACTTTTATGTTGATTAGATAACTTTAAAAACTTCGTGACATGTACACAAGATTTTAAAAATATATAATTAATTTTTATCGTTTTTTTTTTAAATCCATTTGCCATATTTGCTAAATATTTATTTCTATCTTTTTTTCAGATATATAAAAAATTATTTCTGCTTTCATTTTCACGTATGCGATACAAAAGACTCTTAAAAATAGATACAAATTATCAAGTTTCTTAAATTTTGATATTACATTCGTATTAAATATTTTTTAAGGCATGAATCTTTGCTGCGATTCTCTATCGCAAGTTCACTGCGAGTCTTAATTTCGTGAGATATTTAATAGATCTCGATCTAATTTAAATAAGATTGGAAATAAATTCATCCACGTTGCATGTGTAAAAGGTCACGCTATCAAAAGTGCCCTTTCACTTTAAAATCCATTCGATTCTTCCAAGCGAGAGGAATCTAAACCCCATTCGTTCATATCCTTGCAAATCGCATCAGGATATTCCAGCCAATCTCATGCTGTCAAGTTCTGATGTTAATCGACGGTAATAATGATAGCGATGATAATAATGATATTAGCGGTGTCGTTGTTGATTACGGTGATAGTAGCGATGATGATGATGGTAGTAGTGTTTGTAATGATGGCGTTAGCAGTGTCAGTGGTGATGGCGTCTGTGTCGCCGTTGCAGAATCGATCCGATGCCCTAGTTACCAGGAGAGAGTGAGACGAGAGAAAAAGACCATCTATAGATGTGTGGATGTATAGGATGGCCCAGAAATATCACGCTTGCGCGTGATCGCAGTTTCTGCTCGGGGAATATACGAATAAGCGCGCGGAAATTGTATTATTATCTAGGGCAATTTACAAAAGTCGTGGAGGTCGTGTTTCCGAAAATTTGAAGACAATAAATTATTGGATTCTCAAAAGAATTCCTCGAATTTTAATAATTTTTCAATTATAATATTTTTGAACATTCAAGCAATTTTCAAGTTTAAATATCTGGATGCGAATATCTTTCGAATTCATTTTATTTATTAAAAACAATTTTAGTTGTCTTACATTTGCTTGAGAGACGTGTTGGTATCTATTTAAATCATTCATAATTATATTATATAACATTTATATAACAATTATATTATATATTATATATGTATTATATAACATATATGTATAATATTACACATGTTCTCTATTGGAGAAATTAATTTATTGGTATTCAAATATTTAGTCTAGAGCTGTCAATGCACGAATCTCAAATAGCGTTTTAAGTTATCGCGATATTAATATTAGTGTAAAACGGAAGGAACGGATTGCCATGTCGACCAATAGGGTGGGTCAGGGTTAGCATCGAAGGTTAGGTTCCTCCTCCGCACTGAATCCTGTCGCGAGGGAAGCTGAGAGGGGAGGAATGGAGGGAAACGGGTACCACGATCGATAATGCGAAACTTGTATGGTTTTCAAGTATTATTCGACTAATACATCATTATTTCAGCGGGATATAACTTGTCAAATTCAATCAAATTAAATTGTTTCCGTTCCTTTTTCTTTCATATTCGACTTTTCCCTCTTCTCCCCCTCCTCCCTCTCCTGCTCCGTTTTCAAGTATCTCCAGCCCCCTCGTTGAGCTCCTATTTCCTCTCACCCTCTACTCGTCCTTGTCCTTGTCTCGTAATTTTTCTCTTGCTTTTTCTGTCCTTCTCTTTCTTTCTGTTTCTCTGATTCTTCTTTTTCCTCTCTTTCATTTTTAACTTTCTTCTTCAACCTTTTCTCCTTCAATCTTTTTCTTTTTGTGTGTATTCCTCTTTATTTTCATTCATAATGTTTTCTCAAGGGCTATCGAAGATTTTTATCAATCGATGTGGAGACAATCTTAAAATTATTATTTGTAAAGCATGAGTAATATTAAAAGAAAAACAAAGTATGTTTAGTTATATCTCAATACTAAAGAGCAAGTTAAGTTTGTTATAATTGAGTATTGGAAAAATATGAAAAGAATAGAATAAAATTTTATAAAAAGACGCGTAAATAAATCTTCAAAATAATCTTAATGGTAACAAACGGGATAATTTTTAAAAACAGAAGCGAAATTAAAATTATCAGCAAATTTTGGTAAATATTTATTGTAGAAAGTCATCCTAATCTTGACATTAGATGACAATGATATCAAAGTTATGACTCGGAGTAAATATTCACCGATTCTACACGTACACACATGAGAAAGAGAGAGAAAGATATTGTATATATGGCATGTTGAAATCATTTCTTTCTCTTTCTTTTTTTTTGCAAGAAATTAGAAATGAAAGAGAAATTCTAATTATATTTTTGAATTCATTGTAAAAAAATATGATGTAAAATTATTAAGAATGTTATATAAAAAATTGTATTTTTCATTAAAACCACAAAAATTATTAATGAAAGGCGACGTAATCTTTTTTCGAGAATTTTTTTAAACTTGAAAGCATCATATTTAAGTAATTGTATTTACAGCTATTGAATAGTGTATCGATGCCAACTAAGAAATCAATTTCTCTTTTGTGTTGCAGGTATCTCGAGCAGGCAACGACTTCAACTATGAAGTTACAGCAAACTTTCGCGCATTTTATCGCGTCAATATGCGATAAAAAAAGGCTGTGATTACTTAACTTTTTCATCAATATAAATCTCTTAAATCGATTGATTAATTTAGTATCAAATATGATATGAAACCATTGATTTCTTCCTTTGAAGATTTTCCAACGATCGATATATCGATACGAACTTTTCTCATTCTTTAATTGAAAGAATTAAGGATTGAATTTGCAATACGGCAGACTCTGATCCGAAAGATATATGTTTCATCACCGAGAAGCCGCTAGGAAGAAGATAAACCATAATTAAGCGAATTCAAAAACTGAAAAGCAACAACAAAGAGACGCCCAACGTTGTCCGGAGGAAGCATTCGATATCACGGAGTAAGTAAGATCTCCGATCACGGTGGCCAGTCTAGTAAGTGGCAAGGTAGCAGCGCTATATAATGAAGGGTCGGAGGTTATTGTTACGGGGGATGTCATCCTGGCAGCCTCACCCAGGTTAAAAGCAACGATTAATCCATCAACCACGACGACGACGACGACAGAACCGACGATAACAACCTCCAGCATGGATACCAGCGGCGATTCGAGTCTCGACGCCGCTAATGGCACCGCTGCAAGCGTTGCCGCAATCGCCTCCGTCGTCGGCAGCGCCGCATCCTTGACGATTAAGGCCGAGAGACCCGATCTGGCGGGAACGTCGACGTCGCCTGCCCTGGCTGCTGGACCGATCAGTACCGGAAGTAGCCTCTTCACCGGTATAGCCAATAGCAATAAGACGACTAGACCGGACGATTGGCTGGCGACGAATAGTCCGGAATCGCCGCAGAGCTCCCTGCAGAGTCAGCACGTGGTCTATACCTCTGGCTCTCAGCAATTGTCGGAGCCTCCTGTAGCGCACTCCAGTCCGCATCAGCAAGTTAGCAATAATGGATACGCGAGTCCCATGAGCACAGGCAGTTATGATCCGTATAGTCCCAACGGTAAAATAGGTGAGTACTCTGTTTTGATAACAAAAATGTTGCAGATTATAAGGATTATTTTCGCACACATTTAACATCTAATGACAGGAAAAGAGAAAATCAAAGTGGCAATAACATAAATCATATTCAGGAAATTCGCATTACATTGTAAACAAATGTTTATATTCGGATCCATTAATGTCTTGCTCCAAAAATCAAGTCGATGACAGAAGGTTTTTCACACAAGGTCATCCCTTATGTGAGTCAATGCTCGAGAGAATAAGAAACATAATGCATAATGATGAGAACTATATAATGGAATATAAATGTCAAAATCAGCTGATTTCTTAGAATGTACTTTTAACTCAATTTCTGACAAGGTTTCTACCGAAGCTTTCAGCTCGCATGCGTTTAAAAAACACGGTTACTCCATGAGATTCTCTCTTTTCCTCTCTCTTTCTACTTTCTTTTTTTCTACATAAAAAATATATGGATAAGCGCATTCTACTATTTATATATATATATATATATGATAATAACACGATACACGCCATCTGTTGTCATATTCTGAGAACTTTTGTCATTTTTATCAAGATAAGCAGATGGCGCCAATGTCGCTATTGAACTATCATAATCTGCAAAATTCCTGAGATTTAATATCAGGTAGTATACTCACATCTTTTGTACATAGTACCTCATTATTGTGCTCTTATCGACTACTATGTATCAAGTGGCCGGATGAATATCCGGTCTCTGGCTTGTGTGTTTACTTTCAAAAAATATTTCTGTCATATATTACATATACATATATACGTATTATATAGTAAATATGTGTATGCTGTATTATATCATATGAGAAGAAATATATAAAGACATTTTACATTTAAGAAAAAAATAGAATGAAACACACGTTAAGGTAGCACATGTGAAATAGTGCGAGAGCAACATAAGGAAAGAAATGAGGAAAAAATAAGGAAATATTTTTCGTAAACAACAAAATATAAATTTTTTTATTGTACGCTTGACATAATATATATATCACGTATATCCTTCAAAATGAATATAAATGCAATCTTAGCAAATCTCGAGACGTATATTTGAGACGTTTATGTTTCCTGTTTTTTTCTTTTAAGATCGTCAATGAATAAATTTGACATGTGTGAGTTAGCATTCTCGATCTCGCGATTGTCTCTCTCTCGACTCTATCGAAGAGTGGATATCCTTGAGAAGGAGCATTGTCCTCGATAGTTACCTCTTGTTCGGCCACTTAGCTCAGTCCGACAAGCTTCTCGCCTTGTGACATTGTCCGTTGCAATTTCTTCTCAATGTCAAAAACAAAATCAAGCAATGTTTCTCGATTATACAAAAATTATCAATCAATCATACAAGAACTAAAATCTCGATTATATAAATGCAAAAATTTAAGAACTCTTTTTTACATGTTTCTCAACATATTTTTAGAAATATGTTATCCAACATATGCAGGAAATTTTTGATATTTTGCAGAGTCTGCATGAAAATATTGAGCATGTGCGGGTTATTATATTTATTTATATGCGAATATAAAACTAAAAAAAAAATAATGCATTTGTTCATATTACCGAATTTTATTGCAAATTTGGTATATTAGGAAAGGAAATTTTTTCTGATTTACAGGATAAATAGTAACGATGGGATAAATTATGGGATAAGATTGTAATCGTACATCTATGAGAATAAAAAATAATTATATCAAATGTGAATACAAACATTTAATTCGACGTGCAATCTCTTAAATAATATCTCTATCATTTTACTTTGTAATATAATCGTCATAAAATGAAAAAGATATTAGCGCTTATAATTTAATATCGAGATTTAGATTTCGCTTCGCAGACAGAATATTTAACTCTTTTAAATCTGGGAAATAGTATAAGTAATATAATGTATTATACATACTTTACTCTTTCTATAAATTATTTACATTTAATTTTAGTCATATTATAAACGAATTGTCTTTTTCAAAAAAAAAAAAAAAAAAAAAATATATATATATATATATATATATATATATAATCTATAATTTTTTAATTATAAATACTATTTCTACTTATAATTGTAAAGTTTGTATATATTTTAGACATTTTTTACATTTGATTTTAATACAAGCAATTTCCATATTATTTACACACAATTTTCTGAATAATTTATATTTAATTTATTTAATTTTTTTATTTATTATTCAAATATTTAGTTATTTTATTATTTAATTATTTAGTTATTTATTTATTTATTGGTTTTTCAAATTATTTTTTATTCAGATATATTCCATAATTGCATTAGTAATAAAATTTAATCCTGCAATACATACACACACAAATCCGGTGATATAAAATTGTTCAATATATATGCGCACGCGCTTACGCACATATGTATATTTGGGACGCTTTTTTTTGAAAAGATTTAAAGTTGAAAGGTTAAAAAGGAAAGAGAGAATATGTATTACATTTAATAATACATACATACATACATATATACATACATACATACATACATACATACATACATACATACATACATACATACATACATACATACATACATACATACATACATACATATATATATATATAAACTTTGTGTATGTATAAAATATATTAGGGAATGATAATATTTTTCAAGTTATTATTTTCTCTAAATCTCTTTTACGAAATTTGTCAAAATAAGATTATTCTGAATAAGCGATAAACTTCGTTAATGAGGATAATTTATACTTATTATGAAGATAAATTAATGTAAAGATTGTCACATCAACTTGAATTAAGATTCACGCTTGCCTACATGAATATCAAGACATAACTTAAAGTTATTAATTGCATTTTGAAAAATATATAAATGAATATTTATAAGATATGAAATTAACGCGAAAAATTCATGATCACATTTAATCATCTAGTGTATATATAAATACATATAAAGTTGTCAAAGAGCGTCCTCTCCTGTATAATTAGCTAAATTAATTTTATTCATATGCCATCTCTCTCATTCGAGATACCTATATTTTAATTGAAAAAAATAATTTATTTTGACGCATTTTGCAAAAAAAAATATATATATATATCTCGTTTCTAATTCTTTTATAATTCAATACAGCTGCAGTGAGGAAACAGAAGCTTTGACCTTTGATGATATATTCTATACATAAAAATAGCATTATATGTAGCAAGTCATTATTGTGACTCTTCAAAATATACGTGATAAATATTATCTAATTTATTTGTTATTTATCAATAACGGAAATTCATATTATATTGTATGTAACAATTTCTTGATACTCTAGTTTTCTATTGTAGAGCATAAATAATGTAAAGATGGAGACCGTAACAAAACGAAATGATTGTTAGATCCAAGATTTATTAATCGATAATTCTGATGAATAATTTCGATTTGCATTTCATGATGTAAATTTTATAAAATAGAATTATAATCGAAATATCGATTATAATTCTAGATCGATCATTTGCAATCCTGCATTGGAAATTAAATAATAATACGTTTTGTTTAAAGTAATGACTGAGACTTTTTTTTAAATATTTTTTTTAAATATATTTTTTTAAATATATTTTTAAAAGACATTTTTAAAAAAAATATATACAAATAGAAATAAAAAATATACAGTGATAATAGCAATACGAGTCAAGTGTCGGTCCTATGACACAATAATTTATTACTTTAGACGGCTGTTTCTGTAACTGGCTCCGATATAAATTCTTTTTGTTATTTATTATTATGTTTCATCACATCATCACATTTGCGCTGAAAATGACCCAAAAATAAGGTCGAAACGTTCGTCATCCTTTCTTTGTAATATGTTCCATGCTTATGTGTTTGCATAATAAATTATTGTGTCATAGGACCGACACTTGACTCGTATTGTTATTATCATTGCCTATTTTTTATTTTTATACTTCGAATCTTATACTTTTTATTATTTATAAAAATAGAGTTTAAAAAATTTTTAGAGACTTATATCGAGACTTTATATCGTAACATTTCCGTACACATAGAGCGATAAAAGAGACATTTCTTTAAATAATTGAAACGTAAGCCCGATATCGATTAAGTTTATTAAAAATTCAATCGGCTTAGCCATTGTTAACAATGAAATCCGATAATCCGAGGTGCTCTTAACTGGACAGCTCGCATATAGTCCATCTGGCTATTGCTACGCACGTGACTTTTACGCGAGAGACATTACCGTGTCTCTTGAAACTTCTAACTAGGTAACTCTAGAAGCATGTAGCTCGAATTAGTGCTTATGTAGCAGCTTGGAAACAAAAATGAATTGCACAGAAAGAGTGAGAGCGAGCAAAAGAAACGATGAAGCCTCGATGCGTGTCGGAGGCCTCGCAGTGTTCAACGAAGCTTCACGAGATTCTGTAATCGTGTCCGGTTTGCTCGCCATCGGCCGCAATAGACTTCGCGTTCTAATAGCATCGCCGGTTCAAATCGGACAAGACAATGTTTCACGATATTTGTTTAAACGGAAAAGCGTAAGAGCGATTCAATTTATTAAATAGAGAAAAGTTAAAATGTATTTATTATATAATTTTATAATTATAAGATTACTAATGCTCGATCTTATATATCGATCTATTATAATTCTAAACAAAACGTATTCTTATTTAATTTCCAATGCAGGATTGCTAATGATCGATCTAGAATTATAATCGATATTTCGATTATAATTCTAGATCGATCATTAGCAATCCTGCATTTCAAACTGCATTTCATGATGTAAATTTTATAAAATAGTCGATATTTCGATTATAATTCTATTTTATAAAATTTACATCATGAAATGCAGTTTGCAATTCGAAATTATTCATCAGAATTATCGATTAATGTATCTTGGATTTAACAATCATTTCGTTTTGTTACGGTCTTCACTGTACATTATTGATGCTCTACAATAGAAAATTAGAGAATCAAGAAATTGTTACATACAATATAATATGAATTTTCGTTATTGATAAATAACAAATAAGTTA